TAAAACATTATTAATGTTATTTGTAGCTAGTTATTTCAAAGACCTCGAGATCAGTCTTTTATAAGAAATTTAATAATGTAAGGAGCATAATACTTAAACTTTTGTTTGTGTTAAATACGAATGCAATAATTTCTTTATTTTGATAGATATTATGAACCGCCATTTGATTTCAGTACATTTTGTACATCAGGATTGGTTGTTTTTTCATAAATCATGCTGAATTTCAAAGAAAAGATACTTAATTTTTGTTCGTGTTGCTTAAAAATGCAAATATTTCTTCTTTTATTTCAGAAATATTGCAACGTCACTTCCAATCAGTCATTATAAATGCCTTTAGACAAGCAATTTTGTATAAAATGTGAATTATTGAAGTATAAATATGCATAAACTTTTGTTTTTGTTGAATAAGAATGCTATCATTTCTTTAATTTAATGGAAATTATTGACCCCATTGGATTTTTGTTTTTTTTTGTAGTTCAGAATTGGTTGTTTTTCATAAAATTAAAAGAATATCAGAGAAAATATACTTATATGTTGTTTGCATTGTTTTTCTTTTTTTATTTCAGTACTTTTTGTACATCAGGATTTGTTTTTTTTTATAAATTATGCTGAATTTCAAGGAAAAGATAATAAATTTTTGTTTGCGTAGCTTAAAATGCAATTGTTTCTTCTTTTATATAAGAAATAATGCAACGCTAATTGCAAAATGGGTTGTGTTTCACAAAATTAAACGAATAACAGAGGAAATTAAGATTCTTAAAGTCATTCACATCTGGGAGTATTATACTAACATAATAGTATAATAGTCCCAGTTCACATTGTTTAAACTCTAACAAATTACCAATATTTCTATTTTTTTTATAAAAAAATCAGCAATGTTACTTGTAACTAGTTATTGTAAAGGCCTCCAGATAAAAAATTTTTATAAGAATTTTAAGATTATTAAAATATAAAAAAATAATACATCGAAATTGGCAAAAATGATCATGTCTATTCATTTTCCAGAGCATTTTCGGGGAACAAAATCCAAATCGCGATTTAAATCGTTTTAGCACTGTTCGGGAATGAAAATATATAACCTAAATAAAAACGAAAATCACCATTCTGTTATAATAATATTTAAAATCAGTTTTATCTTTTTATCTGCATATTTCTTTTTTTTTATTCTTTAAAACTTTGCTGAATAATCACTAAAAAAATGTTGATCTTTTGTACTTGAACGTTTCGTATTTTCCGTGGCGCCATTAATTAAATGAAACGAAACTAAGATTCCGTAATTTGTATTAGTTTATCATGTGACGTAGTAGAGTTCAATCTGTCAGAAAAGTCGATCGGTCCTATCCGTCCGATCAGTCAAATATTTTTACCATAAATCTGACGGATTAGTGACGTGAGTCTGACGTGAGCTTGAATGATCGGTGACTGATCGATGACCGCTGATTGATCGCTAAAATAGTAACGCCTAAGGTTGCAAGTACTGTACTAGTTCGACATTCAAACTCCTATGGAAGAAGAACTGACAAATAAATAAAAACTATCAACATAATGCATCAGTGCATAAAAACAGTTTGAGAAACACGAACATCACCATAAACATTTCAAATAGTCTTCGAGCCGCGCTCGCACGGGTTTTTTACTAGTATATATATATATTTATATATATGTTAGCGGCAATAAGTAAAATTAGGCATTACGTCTAAATCCTGTACAATGAATTAACGCCTAGTTATTGAGTTATTGCCTGAAATTTTTACGCTTTAAGCTGATTTCCTGAAATCTGATGATGATTATTCAACCTTTTGTCAAACATCATTTCAGGCAATAAGTGAACTTTGTGATTTTTGCTTTATCTTCCATGTAAATGTTCATTCTGTGAAATATTCTTAGTGTAAAGTTTTGATAATATAATATTCCAAATATCGATATACATTTATTTAACAAATCTTCAAATTTAAGCATGTTTTCCAAAGTCATAACATAATCAACTTGTATTTATTTCTGGTATTAAAAAAATGATATGTTTCAAACAAGTGATTTTATCTTATGACAGGATGATGATTGATGATTTTATCTGAAAATTATTTGAAGAAAATTTGCACTTCACTGGTCGAGCTGGTTTTGGTCTGCTCAAATGTAGATAAATGAAGATACTTTTTTTTAATCCAATAATCGCATAATCTTTTAATTGATTTTATTGGATTATGTAAAACATTACTGTTACACATTTTGTTAAAGTCCCCCAAGCGATCACATTTTTTTTCACTTCTTAATCAGTATTATTAGCATTTAAGTGACATGGCTACTGAAGACAAATTTCTTTAAACTTTGCGGCCTCAATCAGTCAGAACAAGAAACATATACCAAAGATAGCTCAATGATATTTTGAAAAAGATGGAAGAACTTTTACCTTTTAGAATTCACAGAAAAGACGGCAACTATAGCCTACTACAATTAAAAAAGGTATGCCATTTTTTAGCGTTTGAGGCTTTAACATATAAAAAAAACCAGTAATGTAATTGGAAATGGTGCGGAAAATTAAAAACAATAAATGCAGAATGTGTCCATTTGACATAGATGATTCCCCCGCTTGCATATAACGTTATGTAGGGACATAACTCAAGAACGGTAAAAGTGACACCACCCGAATTCGAACTTGATCTGTATAATGCAATAATAAGCATTGTGTAGTTCAATTCATAATATTTGGTTGAGACAAACAAAAGTTAGAGAACAGAAAAAAATTTGGGACGTACATAAGGGTAACACTTAATGCCCCCTCCGGTTAGGGCTGGGGCATACACATGTTTTTTCTAGAGGTACTGTTTGGTACTTTGAAAAAGCCACATACACAGATCCTGGCGACAGAGATGGTATGCTTTAACGAACTTAATAATGTTTATGCAAATATTTCCCGTGATTCCTTTGCTAAGCAAATATTTCTCGTGATTTCATCGAGCTATTTCTTTCACTTTTTGAAAATTGTAACGTGAAGAAAAAGTATTTAGGAAAGGGAGAAGTAGTGAAACCCGTTTTACACAAAGAGTATGACGGTGCAGGACGGATTCATTTAATGGATTTTATTCAAACCCAGATGGAAACCATAAATGTCTATAAATCACCTAACAAAAATTTGTTACATTAGAGCTCTCACGTCAAAATGTGTTTCAGAGGTGACTTTCGATTTTATTGATGTTTTCATAATTTTTGGTGTGTCACATTAACTGCAAATTAATATACAATGGTCGTGAATTTACAGCTTTGGTTTTTATCAGAGTTAAAACTTAAGGGCCAGAACAAGTGATTTCAGTTCGTATCATGTTTTATGTACCAAATGTATTTAAACTTTAAAAGAAATGTCATTGTATTTATATTTTAGGCATTAAGATTAATGCCTTGACACATTTTTCATGATTATTCAGGATTTAAAATTTAACATGATTAAAGCCTATCATCATTTAGCATGTTTAGGTAATAGACTTACTGCCTAGGCGTTACTTATTGCCTAGGATTTAAGTGTAATGCCTAATTTCACTTATTGCTGCTAACATATTCTTGTAAGAGTAATCCCTAATGGTTTATATCTGATGTGTCCAACTTTTCAATCGCTATTATATAACTTATTATTGACCCTGCTTGATACAGAACCATCAATTAAATGAATCAATTGTTTAAGATTTATATGTTTAATTCATATAGATAAAACAATAAGGAATTAGTAAAAAATATATTTCGTAAACTGAAAGTAATAGTATATTTCTGCACTTTAATGAATATATGTTAGTTTTATATATTTTTTAAGAAGCTGCATTACTTTTTTATTATCTTGGGTACAACGAATACTGTATCATTTATACCATGATCATTTTCCTTTATTATCAATTATGTCATTTACAAATAAAATTTTACTGTTTATCCAGTTTTTGAAAATGAGACATTTACCGTTTAATTTGATATTTAAAAAAAGGTATCTTTAGGTAAAAACAAACAAACATAATAAAATCAAAACAAACCAACTCACAAATACAAAAGCATACAAAAACACAAGCAAAATTATAGTTAGTTTTTCGTTTAAATTATTTTACATTGTTCATGTTCGTGCCTTTTTATACCTTACTAAGTAGTAAGGGTATTGCAAAATTAAGTTAATGCTCAATATTAACCTTCACAAACACCGTTACTGATAGTGTAATGCTATTATAACGGAAGGATGAAGATTAATAAGTAATATTTTGTGGCATCCTTGTTGATCAGTTAATAGTTTTTTGTTGTTTTTTGTTAACTCTAATTTTGTCTTTTAATCGTTTTATGCCATGGCGTTGCCATTTCGTCATCAAAATAGGAGTTTGACTATCCCTTTGATATCTTAAGCCTCTGTTTTAATAAATGTGGTGTATCAGAATCTCTTGTGTTTGGATTCAACATTTCTTCAAGAATGCTTAGACCAAAACATTTTTCCTCAGAGAAAACACACTTTAGTGTCTTAATCATCTCTTAATTGATTATGGAATAATTTAAGACCGCAGGATTCATAAAAGATAATACAAAATAAATGATATAAAGTGACATGAAACGAAAATGAACGGATCCTAGGCGAGATTAAAAAACAAAAACACGAAAAAGGAACGAAGCTATTTTGAATGCATACAAAAATATGTAAAATTATTTATCAAAACTTAACACTTTGACATGTAACAGCAACTTTATCATGCTTCGAGAACAACAAAATGAATTATTAACGTGTACAAGGTTAGCCTTTATAAACACGTCCTAATGTATCATTTGTGTAGATTTAAGATATATCTTGCATATGAATGATTTCGAATATATTCTATCTAGGAATCTATTATTTTGCATAGTTCAGAATGAACAGAACATGTGAATTGGAGCCTATATATCCTAAATACCCCCACCCATTTTTCCTTAAGTTGCATCACAGTTTATCAAGATGCAAGTGCCGCATGTGTAGGTGATAGTTTTATTTGGTTCACTTTCAGCTCTAACTACTGGTAGATCTTTTCACGGTTTCTGTTAGGATTCTAAAAATGTCATAAACTACTTTAACAGAGCAATACTGGTTTGCATTTAATTATGATGAATTTATATATTTTAAATTGGAATGACAGCTGAATTATTTCTAAATCTCACAAAGAAATGACTAAACAAAATGTATCTCTCATTCATTGAATTAGATATTTATTATCGAACCTTAAAGTGTCCAGACATGATATGCTTTTTTTGTTAACATTAGCCAGTGGTTTTCTAAATCAAGTATATAAATGTGTTAACTCCTAGATTTCTCACGTCCAGTCGTAAAACCCTTGTTTAAGTTTGGTGTCCGTTAATGTATGCCTGCAAAATGAACAAACAGTAACATTTTGTCGCACATGATGCAATTGGGACATCATATATAATGCCATGTGAAAGATTAATTTCACCTTCAGAGCACGCAAATGAATGCATGCAATATATCTTTGAGGATTCTGAATGTGGTTTGTTGCAAGACAAAATCTATGCCCTTTCCAGCAAATCCTCTTTTTCTATGTAGAGTTCATACTTTGGTGTTTTTTTTTGACGTATTACCACATATTTCTTTTATTGACACGTAGCTGCATGGAATTTATGTTATGACGGTTAGAAATCATTTAAATATTTTGTTTTGCAAGCTGGTTGTAATGGTTTTTCGCTGCTAAAAATGATTTTTCCAATTATATGTACATATGATCAATGATACAATTCTAATATTAACTCATAGTTCATAAAAAGTAGGAGTTTTCAGACAAGAGTTATTTCCTATGTATGGTGATTAACATGTACATGTTTACACAATGTTATCGTTGTCACAAGTATTAAATAAACATAGTTTACGTTAACAATAGAAAGGGGCATACTACATAGGGAGTGTTGATTTCAATGTATATGCACAGATAAAGTAAATACTCTGTCCAAATAATTAAATATGGATTGATATATAAATTTATATTATGGTTGTGACCTGTTAACTATTTCTTGCATGAATAGATATTTCTCGTACCACACTGCCCGGAGTGTGATACGAAAAAGTGATACGAAAATCTGCGTTGATTTGACTGGCTTATCCAGCATCACAAGACGATATTGCGGCATTTCTATTGGTTATTCGTTAGGTAAATGATGATTTTCAAAGGTTAAGACGATGTACATTTCGTCCATGGCAACGGCCATCGTGATTTCTTCAATAATATACAAAACACTCACACCTTTCACCTGATAATCTGTCAAATTTTATTACATTCTGAAGCGTACAAAATGTCTTAAAATGTCTACTGTTAAAGTTTGACACAGGAAAAGGACATATGACGTCATACTGGAATGTGCAAAAAACTAGATCAACATTTCGCGGAACTCGTTATTTAATTCAAATAGAAATTGTAAATTCGCCGAAGGCTCGTTTATTATTATATTGAAATCAAATAACTCTAGTTGGTATCAAGTGATATTCCATTCTTACTCGTTATGAAACCTATAAAAAGCTAGAATATAAATCTGATAATATATCATGGTATTTTTTTATCTCTCGTTTGCATTTCCCCCAAACAAATGCGTTTCTGTAACAATGAATGGACCTCTGAGATATTTTCATGAACAATTAAGGGTTTATGTAACAAGCGAATATTCATAAAATACGATAATGTTTTAAAAGGGGACTTTACTCACACAACTACAGCTATATGAAACCACTGAACTAAATTTTATTTTAAATCGTTATTATTTATTGGTCTCTGCAACGGTTAAACAAACGCCAATTTCTTGATGAACAATTGTAATCTTACTACGTAAGCATAATAAAACAAAGTAAAGAAGTAGAATGCAAACACTTGCTATAACCTCAGCGTAAGGGAACCACATAGGCGTGAAAAGGTCTATCAAATACCCTAGTATGATTGGTGTTACCATAGTACCAATTGAACCTAGAAACATAATTACTGAGACTATCTTTCCAGTTACTTTGAAAAAGTCTTCCTCTATCCAGGATAGCAACAAAGGAAATAAGATTGACTGGCAAAATCCAGACATTGGTACGAAAATCCAAACTCCAATGTCTTTTTGATATAGTGTGGTGATCATTAGTCCGAATGAGGAAAGAGTCAAAACAGATATGTACGTAGCAAGAACTCTGTCTGTCTTAAATCGATTCGTTATGATGATCCCCGATAATCTACCAATAGCAAAGGCGGCCCAGTATGACGTAGCTGCATATGAACCTTGTGTCTGTGTCCATTGCATATGTCCAAGTGTAAATGTTGGCAAAAAGTAAACCATTGCTTTTTCAAGGAACAAATAAAACCAGAAGGTTGCACACATTAACGATAGGCTCATTAATCGGATATATCTTGGCAAATCCTTTGTGACACGAGGTGGGCTATGGTCGTCCTTCTTGTTGGTTTGTTTTGTCGAACGGCAAAGGAAATATACAAATAAAAAACTACAGCTGAGAGCAAAGGCAAGGCGGCAGTTATTGCGAATGCAAAATGTACTGAAGAATCCTGAGTCTCTTGCGATTCAATTATTCCAGATTTAAAAGTTGCACTGAAGTTTTCACTGAGTTTATGAACGTTGCTAATATTTTCATATTTAGATGTGTGGTTGTCTTCATGCTCACGGATGCTTAGAAACGGAGCTGTAGCTAACGGTGATATTATTCCACCAACTGCGTACATAAAATGAATAGCTTGCATGTAAGGTCCATTATGTTTCCCCCAGATCTCAAGTATCATGATATTGCAACCTACAATATAGCACATCTATTTTATAACAAGTCAATTTTGTGAGAGAAAAAAAATATTCACTCCTTTTGCCTAATAAAATGACTGAATACATCATTTTGGTAGACCTGGTTTTTGTAAAAACAAGCTAGTGGTAGAACTTGGAACTTGATGTTATGTATACATCAAAATGAAACTGAAAATAAAAACACATTAATAAAATTTGAGTTTTTCATCTGTTTCTTAAGGTGCAACTTTGGTCGTGATGTATACTAGAACATCTAGTAATGTGCATGATCCTTGAATTACAATTTATAAATGTGTTTATAAATCATGATGATTAGGTATTTGCAAATTCATTTTTTTTTTTAAATCCACACTAAAGAGATAATATACTTCAATGACCTTGTCTGTCCGTCCGTCGTTACGTTTGATCATTCATAATCTTTTTGTTTGTTTCATATAAAGAAATGATATGATTTGATCTCGAACTGTACAATCATGATAGCGACCTTAAGATCTGCCGGGCAGTAATTTCCTGTTATATTATTCTTTTTATTAAAAAGTTACTGACGATGAAATATCATTAATTCTTGTATAACGAGTGGGAGTAAACTTCGACATTCAATTCAATTCCATGTATCAAAAGCACTTCTCTGGAAAAACATTCATTATAATTGAATATGTATATGAAGCATATATTATTTACTGTATCCTTTGTAATATTAATGTTAGTTTCACAATTTAAAGATTCAAAAGGACGATCGTAAATATTTATGTCATATGATGTAACGGAGATATTGGGCATGCAAATGAACGCTCTTCACCTTAAATTCTAGTGTTTTTACACCAGTATAGCTTTTAAATTTTTTGGAAGAATTTTTCGTTTATCAGTAATTCGTCACTGGCATGATTCATTACAAACCTTTTTGAAAGTGTCCTTCAATAAATTTTGAAACTCCCTCAGGCAAAGTTGACTATGGCTGGAATGGGCTTTTTTTTAAGGACCTTTTTGGTAATATAGCTCTTCAACTGTTTCGGTTCTTATACTGCCTTGTCGTTCAAATATTCGGCTTTGAGCGTCCTTGATGAATGTAAATCCAGAAAAGCGCTTTGGGCGCATGAACTTTATAACGTGTTGTTTTTATGTTTTAATCGCATATGTTTTGGTAGACACGGGCCAATATAGCTCTGGGCACATTGTCTGCTAACGAAGACCCAATATTTATATAAAGATGTTTCTTGTGTTTTATCATGTAGGTGAGTGTTGGCTCTTTGGCATATTTCCTAGTTGTCCTTTTCTACACTATTATCTTGTCCTTTACATGTATCTGTTTTGCTCTGACCGATATAGTTAACAACAAGGGTGACTTATACCAGTATGTTACAAGAGAGATAACCAGCATAGTAATTTTTTCCATGTGTACATTTCTCTCAACTTTACCAAGGATAACACCGAAAACATTTAACTTAAACTGTAATGATGAATACAAACCTGCATCAATTACTCCTCTAGTACTTCCACGTATAAGAAACAATATAATCATTAAAACGTAATATTTACACCATGGAATAACCGCTGTCAAAATAGCAAAGACAGCAGTTAATGTTGACATAGTAATCATCTGGTGTCCTTTTCTAAATATCCATCCTGCAACTAAAGCTCCAAGCAGAAACCCTAATGATAGAGATGTTAGGTAATATGAAGCTTCATCTAATGTTGTATTTGTTATGACCTGTAAATCGGGTAAAACTGGTCCGAGTTGGCCTGCATTCCATCCCTGTCAAATGAAAGTATTATTTAAATTTAGATGTTCAAAATTTGAATAGTAAACAAACAAGTTTTAAAGATTTGAAGTCAAAATAATATTGACCATGTTTAATTAAAAAAAAACACATACCTTAATACAAACGCTAATAAATAATAGATAATGTCTAAATGGTGACATTTTTTTTCAGTTTAAGCTTAATTCATTTCCCTTTCTATTGTAAATTTAAGCCACACGAAAATCGTACCTGGTTTTTCCTCTTCTTATAATCATTGGTCAATGTTAAAGGACAACACACTGGAACTGTATTTATGCCGTCAGTTAGCTATTGATAGCAATAGCAAATCATTTGTATTTTAAACAGTGTCAAACTGACATCGCGTCCTTATTTAAACAGTGATTATAGAACCAATACATGTAGATACGATTCGTGTACACTTATCAAGTCCTTACATAAACTTATTACAAACAAGATGCCACATTTGTCAGTTTGCTATTGATAGCAGTAAATTTGTATTTTAAACATTGTCAAACGGGATATTATGTCCTTATTTTTTACGGTCATGCTGTTTAAAGAGCTTGCAAATTAGGTAAGATCCATGTAGACTATATATAGCTGTTGGATATTTTGATTACACCTTTTCTAAAAGGTTGACAATTTATTATTGAAATGAGATCTTTTTTCTGAGTTGTTATTGGCTCTGACCAAACTTTTAAGTGACTGCGAATACTTTTAAAGCGGTACTTTTTGCCTTACGTTTTTTTCTTAGTTGTTTATGATGCTTTGTGGCGATCTGATAAGTAAAGCCTTAACCAACTGATTTTTATGGTTTGTTTTAAGTATAAAGTTGTACAATAACTACACTGTTCCAGTATGAAACAGAGGGTTGAGCGCCCGCAAACATTTACATGCGTAGCCCAGACATATTACATGCATTATGTACATTATGTTTGTTCCTGTCCAAAGTCATGAACTTAAAATTTGGTGTTTATATCTGTACATCATATTTGTTTTTTCGTTTATTGTTTTGTACATTAATCACGACATGAGTTTTTTCGTATGCATAGTTTTACATAAGACATTTTTAGTACTGTCGTAGCATGCTATGCGGTATTATGTTTTGGTCGTTGTTGAAGGCCGTACGGTGACCAATATTTTGCCTAAATCCGCTTTATTTTGACTCTGTTGGATAGTTGTGTCATTGGCAAACATATCACATCTTTATTTCATATAGTAAAGAATCCCTGATAATGCTTATCATATAAGAATTATATCTCTTTGTGTTCAATATCTTACTACTCACCAAACATGTACTTAACCAAGATAGAGCCAAAGTCTGATACAAATTGCTTCTGAATATCGTATCTGTACGAAGTCGAATAAATATGCTAGGTTGGTTCGTTTCGTCTAGTTCTTGCTTTTGACGATTGTTAACAGAAGTTATTTCCTTCCCTATCATTGTGTCAGATACATTTTCGACATTGTCAAACATATTTCTATATATTTGAATACGAATCTAGCTTTATCAGCGAATGATAGTCTTAACTATATACATTATACATATATTATAAATATCGTGACAATTTATGTGACACATTGTGATAAGAATCTGGAGTGTTTACACACTTTACTTAGTTAGCATTTGAACATTTAAAAGCCTTTAAACGTCCTTAAAAAGCGTTTGAATGTCCTTTAAAAGCGTAATTTTGTATTAGAATGTGTATGTCTTTTGGTTGTTGTCTCATTTATGAATACCCTACATCTTTTATTGTTGTATTTTGTGTGTTTATCACCGAAACACGCGTACTTATCATTCACACTTAACTCGATTGCATATGTTTGTGCTTTTTTTTATATGTATATCAAGAGCAACCTTGATGTTTAAAAGAATTACTTTGACAGACAGCCACTAAACAACATATGATATTTAACGATTGATATTTCGGGTTATATCTTAAATTGTTCACAACTTACTAGATTATTTTTGACTATTCAGTCGTTTTTAAGGTTAATTCTTATCTCTAGATTTTATATCAGTGAATTTGTATTGAAAGTATGTTGTATTATGTTAAATTTGTAGGTTCATTTTTTTGTTACGCTAACCAAATAGTAAATGGCACTATCAATTCTTCTACCTATAGTTTTACTCAACACACGTGTATTGACAACCATATTCAATATTAGAAACATGTAAAACTCATTTGCCGTTTCTTTTACATGAAAGTTTTTTCAAAACCAATTAATTAGTATATGGTCTATTTGCTTTATTGACAATTATTTGACAGTTAGACATTGACATATTGTATTGACACCTGTCTATTGCGATGCTAGTAATTACTTTTGTTATTTTTATTTTTCATAGTTCGGTTTACAGATTGATCTGTTTTCCCCATTTAAAAATTGTTTGGTGTTCGATAAAAAAAAGTGCGAGACCTAATAAAAAGTAATTATCACACAAAATCAATGGTATTCTATCTTAGGCGAATAGAAATTAGCAAATATTCTGTTTTTAAGTATCATATATTTTGAAATTGTATTAAAAGTTTCTAACTAATTGTTGTTCTAATGATTATACGTATAAGCTTCTGTCCGCTTTACAACTTTAGATGAAAAGTAAATACAACATTACTTTTCACTTTCTTGTTTTTTCTGAACTGCATTAAACATACTCTGGATGCAAGTGATGTTTAGTCTTTTAACATATATATAAATCGATGTTTTCTGATAAGATGAGTTTCATATTACCTTTATATGTACATAATCTTCAATTCTTGATTCAATAAGACGAATTTCTATCAACAGTAGCATTGTCAGAGCTCGTAGCTCATCGTTAATTTGTAGGATTAAGCGTCATTCCTACAAAATAGTAAAGCAGTTTAAATTTGTCGGTTTTAAAGTTGCACGGAAACTGAGATCTTGGGATAAAACATCAATTATTATCGAATACAAGACACGGAAAAATATATGCATATACGTAAACAAAATAGGTATAACTGGATTTTTTTTTTTCATCGAACAAATTTGACTTTTGGTCAATCCAATTGTGCATTTGTCATGTTTCGAGCTGGTACTACATATACTTTACATACAAATGTATTAAAGATTCCAGGCTTACTAACTTTTTACGACAGACGCGTGATTTGTATGTCTTTATCTTTCAGCAACTTTTTGTTCCAATTGTTCTGAATTATATAAAGCATCCTTATAATGGTTTGTTTAATTTGAAAGATGAGCCTTTGTCAATACTTTTTCTTGTTCTGATACATGGCATTAATTGCTTTGGAATTGACTAATAGTTTACATTTCAGATTTAAAATATGATATTTGTTGTATCTCTCGTGATTAAGTTGACAATATTTCAGCTTGTATTGATCTTTTTAAAATTATTTAATGACAACGTAGTACCTTGGAAAAACATCCACCTTCTTTGAAGAACTGTCGTATATGGAGTTTGAAAAAAGGGGGAGAAGTGATTCATTAAAGCACTATTTCTTGTCTTTTTAAATAAATTATTTTGAGTGAGACAAATTTCCTAAATTCTAACATAATTATGTACATCTTTAAGAATCATTTTCTCATTTTAACTCGCATAAATATATGGCATTCTATTTTAAAGAATGTTACGAAATTCCTTAGTCCCTCCTTTAGCTAATAATGAATACCTTTTTATATGACTCAGAAAAAAAGTTTGCATCGTTTGAAATGCTGTATTTTGTTTGTACTAAACTAAAATTTAAACGGAACGATGTTTGCAACCTTTTAAACATTAGTATAAGAAATAAACTTGCCTATGAATTTTTCCAACATCATAAGCATGATAAGCTACTATTATTTCCCCTTCTTTTCAATGCCTACTAGACAGTGGTACATTTTATGCACAAGACTAATTCTAAGGTGTGAGTAGTTATGAGATGTATAAGATAATAATTAAATCTTCTATGACCAAGAGTTATGCAGTCTCAGAGTACATTTCACATTGACATTGAAAGTCGGATTTACGGGCATTCTTCAAAAAATGTATTGCGTGTAGCATAGGAGAACATTATTGGTTTAATTTGTTATAGCTTTGTGATAACAACAATTATGGATTGTGACTAAGAAACCCCGAAAAACATACTATTATCACAACTTATCAGAGCTCCATAATATTCAATGTTCTTCTTTGAAACAAAAACAATTACTCTGTTATTGAGCAAAACGTATGCTTCAAATATATGTCTTTCTTTGTCATCGGAAGTTTGACAATTACAATGTACAATATATGAGCTGCGTTTGATAGAAATCGACCTTATGCAAGAGTACGTGTGCATGATCATGCATAATACTTTGGTTAATTTTTGAACATTCAAATACTAAAAAAAAAAAAAAAAATAATAATTTGTTTCCGTTTTTTTAGGGTTCGTATCACAACCCAATTTTCAAACAATAACCGATTTTCCGTAGATATTTTTTCAGTCCAAAAAAGGTTAACAGAAGTATTGATATTCATTTTTATAAGGTCAATTTATATTCGACGCAGCTCATATAAAGAAGGATTAATTACAGATTGTATAAATTGGAGTGCATTTTCTAATTTCAATATTTATTTTGTATATATATGAAGAAGATATTTTGTTTTTCGTGTAAATATCTTGGATACAGGTTTTAAAAGATTGCAATTAAACCCATTATTGGTTGATTTCTAAATTAAAATCTGCTCTTATTGATATTTTAGACCCTGCTTTTAGACAAAGAATTAGTTTTGTTTCAATCACGAAGACCAAACGAATAAAATGTATTTGCAATCCCAAGCAGATAGCATATGAGATCAAACATGTGGTAAGTATTAATTATTCATCGTCTTATATTGACGACTTAAAAGTTTTCGCCCATGAAAGCTTATTAAGGTGTATATACATGATGTATACAATAAATCTATGCATACAAACTCATTGAAGACACCAGATTTATACTTTTGGATGTCAGATGCGCGTTTCGTCTACACAAGATTTATCAAAGGCGGCAGGTCAAACCAAGCACTAGCTCATTTGGTTAGCAGTAAAAACAAAAAACCAAAAAACACTAAAAGAAAAACCGATATGCTTCTGAAGATTTAACATTCTATAAACAGTCAATTCATAGAAAATCGAGAAATCAGCTACTTTTATTCTATAATCACTGCTTATATTTTTTAAACTTCTTTGACTAAGAAATAAAAATAATAAGCTTTGAATGCTTGATGGTTTATGCGTACCATTGATGGATCAGGAAAACTTAATCCCTGTTCTAGATTAAAATCGCAGACTTCAATTTCCAGGTTTCTTTTTTTTGTTAAAACCGAAAATTAAGATATCAAGGGACATCACAAATCAATAATATTTTCTGTCATTTTTCAATTATATAATTTTACCAATTTGTATCTTCTTTCTTACTTTCAACAGAAACAATTTTACGAAGGAAACATGAATCCATTACGTCTCGCTTTGCATTCGGGTTTTTAGGGAACATATCGTAACTCAAAACTAGGTAAATGTCAAGTGTTGATTCTTAAGGTAAAGTTGCATTAAAGAAGCTGCATGTAGAGGATTCCGGTAAATTTGCGACGTTTTTTTTCCCGTTCCGTTGGCAAAATATTGTTGACAAACAAATGCAATCCGGCGACCAAAGATATTGTCGAGCAATTGTGTTGTAAAGAATATGTTTAACGTCTTTAGGGACCATAAACGTCAAAACGTGTTGACACTGTAAGATTATTATATAGATAATTATGAAGAAAATTATATAGTTGATGTTCACAATAAAAGTCCGGAATCGAACAGATTTTAATGCCAACTCAGGATAGTAGAACTTGGTTATCTCACCGATCAGTAAGGTATATAAAACTTGTAGACAAACTCTCATATTGTTCTTGCACAGCTGAAAACACGAGAAAACAGGAGGTTATGGTAGCATATTAAAATCCTTACAAAAATATGCATCCACCGTGGAAAAATGTTGACCTGCAAATAAAAAGAAGAGGCGAGTTTAGACATAAACACTACATTTGGTCCTTGTGATTAAAATTCTGAGTTTTGACAGTTTTAGAACATTGATAAAGAATGAAAATAGTGTTAAATGTAAGAAAGTGACAACAAAATATAATTCAGAAATTATTAAATAGTCATTCAACTCAAGAAAGAGAAGGATTTAATTGATGATTTCTTATTCCATTTAAACATCTAGTCCTTCATTTCTATTTTAAAATCATTCTAATATGTAGTATATGAAATATAAGTAATCGTTCATACTCCTCAGTATCTCGGGTATAAATGGTTTGTGATGATATTTTCTATCACGGCAGCTGTTTTCTGGATCAAATGGATGAAAAAAGAAAATTCTTAAATAATAAGCAAATTAACAAAAATACAGAACTCCAAGAAAAATTCAAAACGGAAAGTCAATTAACAAATGGCAGATTGAAAAATCTCAAACACATCAAACGAATGGAAAACAACTTTTATATTCCTGACTTGGTGCAGGCATTTCCTTCTGTAAAAACATTTGCAGTCGTTTAAAATTTCATTATATTGACAACAATGCTTGAGCAAAAACAAACAGACATAATAGGTAAAAATGTCAAAAAAATGGGTTATAGCAGTCAACATTGTGTTATAATCTTAATCACTGTAAAAACAAACAACTATGGCAACAAAGAAAAACAAAATGGTATGCAGACTCTCTATAGACAAAGTTCATAAGCAAAAATGGTTGCAACTTTTGTTACTTTCTACAGTTAAAACGAAGTCCTATTCTGTTTCAAATCTCTAAATTCCGTCAACAATGAGAAATAAAATAATAAAAGTCTACGTACTCAGTTGAAACAATATGAACAGTATACAAGAAAATGTGGCAGTGAATAATGGGTTTTCCCCATATATTAAATGGAATGTTAATGCACTTTGTGTCTTTGATGTCATATATGGATATATTTTGTAGACAAAGGAGCTTTAATGTACTTTTTTTATGTTTTCAAAATTATATTTGCTCCATTGGAGTACTCAATTTGAAAACAAAACTATTGGCGGGTCATTTACTGCTCATTTACCTTAAGAAGATTATGGTATTTTTATAAAAAAAATATACTAATATTGTCTTTATCCTCATGCAATGCTCCGAATCCTCGCCCCGCTCTGTCCAAATTTGTTGTTTGTTTTTGATTCTTCAACTCTCACTTTTCTGAACAAGTTTTCGAATTTCTAAAATTTTGTTCTCAAGCATCACTGAACAGACAAGTAGTGTCCAAATGCATAACTGGAGCAGTACAAATTGGTACCGTTATTGTTCATGGCTTGTACGAATGGTTGAACGACGACTAAAGATGCGTTCTATTTTTTCAAAGATAGTCGGCGAAACTAGTCAGTTCAATTGATGATAGCCTCACTTTGAGACAGCTATTTTTCGTAATATAATGCCGAAGTATGGGCGCACTAATTAAGGATTTTGGGTTTGGTCACATATACGATAGTTACAAAAACCCTGCATATTTCTTCTGGCATTCATATAAAGGACTTCTGATCTTGATATTTATTTCAAAATTGATAAACCATTTTTTATTTAATTGGATTTATAATTGGTTACTGTTGATAGGTAATAAAACAAATAATACGTGAGAGTTTCCCATATGTATCAATTTCGACATTTCTTAATACATAACAATTATTATTTTTTTTATTTTAAAGAAGTCGCATTCGAAAAACGATTCACAAGCAAGAAACTTTTGTTGAAAATAAGGGGAAAATAATCAAGAATAATATGTTTTTGACTGTTTTTTTCTTGACGTCTGTTCTTCT